TTTCAAGGACCCGGGACATTTGGGCAACAGCCTCGAACCCGTGAATCACTTCAAGACACTCAGTCTTCCCGACCCACGTTGTTTCCTGACTTGAAACTTTCGCACTGACGCCTTGCACCAAGAAGGCTTTCTGTTCCTCCTGATGTTTTTTAGTGGAGTATGTCTAGCCCCCTAGTCTCCCTATAACCCCCTCCCCGTACTAGCTAACTTTCCTACCTACTAAATTACTCACGTACTCTTCCTTTCTTATCCTAATCTATCTTCGCATACCTGCGGGTTATTTACTGTTTGCTGGAGGGGTACTCGGACCTCCTGGTTAGCCTGTGACTGATCAGCTGGTGCTGCTTCCATTGACAGCAAACCGGATTGGCGTTCCTGCTCCNTATTATACTGGCTCAAGCCGCAAGTCCTGTGAACTGTCCTGTCCTGTCCTAGTCGTGAGTTGTAGGAAATTGGACTTTACTAGGTTCTAGTAGGAGCGGCAGTCCTCAATGAATCCACGCCAGCGGTGGCTGATAGTGATGTGTCTATTTGAGTTCAGCGCTGTGAAGAATTTGGCGGTCTCTATGTAAGTCGGTATCTTTTCTTGTGCTAGAAGTTGGTGCTTGACAGAAACAGTCCGTGGTCAGCACAAAGTTGAAGAGGGCGTTTTCGGTTGTCAGTCCGGTTGGCTAGGATTGCATGTGAACCACCAAGAAGCCTTTCTGATTCGTCCAGGGCGTAGNGGCGTAGAATTTTAGGAAGTAGCGGTCGTCCACGTGAACAGGTAGTCGGCCTCCATAGATTACGTTGGTTGGGGCATGTTTTAAGCATGTCACCAAATAGGTTGCCATGGCGAGCGATGTTTGCCGAGGTAGCTAGAGCTTGGAAAAGGGCCAAAGGTGGTCAAACAAATACCTGACATGAGGGTATGAAAATCCTAACCAGGTGACTGGGTCACATAGGTCACGGTAGACTCCCTGGTTGGGGACCTTGGGATGATGGTCACCGATGGTTAGATACGCTGAGTGATACGGCTGGATTTCGCAGTGGCGCTCATGCATCCACTCTTTATTCCCTTAATACCATTCTATATGAATTCTCCATCTTCCGCTTGAATTTGCTTTCAACATTTCAATCTTCATCGTGCTGTTTTATGCAAATGGTCAACCAAAAGACAGCAACCAAAACCGGCGCACGAAAGTGCATGGTTAATGGTTGTAAAAACTAAAACTGAAACTAGGTTCTAGCTTGCGTCTAACTCCTCGCTGGGGTTCGAATTCCACGTCATGGCAGTAGAGCCCTATTGAGCTCCGTGAGGTTCCTTACCCCACAATTTCCCTTCAAATTGTCAGGTGCGGTTAATACCCTGTGAGACTTTGAAATGTGAATTATTGTGTGATCGTTCTTCTCCAGCGGAGTCGTTTGGATATTCTGTCCATAATCTGCTCATTTGGTTACTGCCTGTTCCACTGTGGCAGGTGTGTTGCTTTCGCGCCATCGCGTATCCTCGCTTACGTGCTGCACAATTGTATATTGTCGTATAGTCTAGTAGATTTTTCCACCTATGCACTCTTCTCAGAACCAGTAGCATAGATGAGTTGCAGAGTTGCCGGGCATTNTTCCGCATTCAGCTGCCGATGGTATCTCCTTTGCAGGTAGCGTCTACCAAGTTTCTTGATTGTCTCTGAAGCTCGTTATAAGTTCACAGTTCAGTGAGAGTCGCTGCTCATTGTACACGCTGTCTGCGGGATTGCCCGACGCGCGTCAAGAGGAGTTTGAGGAAACTCGGTGTTTTGCAATTCAGGATCCTACTACTTGAGCCACTTGAGCGCGCCAGAAAGCGCATGGTTACTGGTTGTAAAAACAGAAAAAATGAACTGAAATGATTACCACATGCGTTCACGCAGACTTATGCGGTAGTTATTGAACACTTCATCTTTTCCCCCTTATATGTTCAGTGGTTGAATTAACGGGAATTCACAGTCAGTGTTCATTGTAATCATACCATTGGCTTAGATGCTTGCTTATTCACTCGCGTTAAGTCGGCGTCCTGGATACCTCGAGCGTAGCTTGTCATGTCCAGCAGTTTCCTTCCAGTTGCTCCTGTTATGGTCAATCCTAAAGAAGACTCAATGACTAAATGCTTTTTCCACTCCTGGTTTGCCTCTCTAATCGTTCGAGTTTATTTTGTAGGTCACGATGGCCAAAAGGCAAGCCTCATTGGGAGTTTTGCTTTCTACTGTCACACCGAATCAACTTGCGTAATTTACGACAAATATTGCGTACGCGTGATGGACGCTTCGTGTATAATTGGTTTTCAAACGCGTTCGCTGGCGTTCTCTCTCTCTCTCAGTCACGCATTTTTCGAATGATCCAAATGGATACCTCGATGGATGATTTGTTCTCTGATTTGGAGAAATCTGCTCATCCAACAAATCAGGAATCAGGTATTGGTAATTTCGCATCAATCTGTTCAAGACGGTTTCATTTTTTTTTTACATTTTGTGATTGGCTTTTCGGGGAGGTATTGTTACAGTCTGCAATCTTTGGGAAAAGAGCATAGGTGGGAACAATTTTAGGTTGATGCTTCCATGCGTCAACAATGCAGCACATTTTGTTTATTTCATATCTACCATCTACGGGGACAGGAAATTGGAATGAATTCGATATTTTTATCTTGATCTACCATAAGTAGGTAATCTTCAATTCATCCAGTCTACTATACACGCGCATTTCGCTTTCTTTCGAGCTCATCAGCGGTACATAATTACAGAGCATTTTGGAGTTTGATCCATGAACCCCTTGCATGGAAGGTTTGTTACCATGTGTCAAGCAAGTTGCCTTGGCCTGGTCAACCTGGCAGTATTCCGTCCACAAACCACTCATGGACTTTCCTTTTTTATAAAGGTTCTTGTAGTATGGTTTGTTTGGCGAACAGTCTCGATCCAGACTTGAGTGAAATTCACACCAGTCACTGTTTGCGACAAATAGCCGTGTCTTTGCTAGTGTATTCAGTCATCATTCATTACCATTCGCTGAAATGAAAATCGATTGTCCAATTAACGGAAGCAAGTAAAATAATTGCTCTTATTGGAGCTTTCAAAAGTTAGTTTTTATTTCATTGCAGATGACACCAAGCTCAAAGTGGATGCGTTCACAGTTACAGAGAGTGTGCTGAACGAGCGTCTCTATGTGACCATTTGGCGCAGCGAACAATACGAAAATGCGATAGTTTACGAGGTGAAGTTAAGTGGTGAAATGGACAGGTGGGTTCGGTATGAGAAAAACTGCATTCTTCTCCCACATTTTTAATGTCTAGATCGCAGTTGGATCGCATACACTGTTCAGATTTAGTCCTCGGGGACAAGTGGAAACAGTCACACGGAACCCACCCCTGTACTCGGCAATATCCTGTACTTTATGCCTGCATTTTGGCTGTGGTAGAATTTGCTTTAATTTTTGTGTTGGTTATTTTGAATGGGAGTTGGGATGGAATCGGTTGCGCAATCCAATTAGCTTTAAAATAGGAAAATATTATTGGGCTGTTTACGTGCTTTTGTATCTGCTCACTATTCCCGTCAGCAAATGGTTGTTTTTCTGCCTCTGTTTTACGATGTAATCGTAATCACAATAAAATAATAATACAATGTCTTTTTAATTCCTTTTTATCTGTTGAATATACGTACAAAGGCCGATGGGGAAAAACAGAAATAGGGAAGAGGGGCGGCCGTAAAGCGATTCGAGCCCGGGGCGTGTGATACGAAAACACTTCATCTGAATTTTTTTCTTCCAAACCGTTGACATTACTTCTCATAAAAATGAATTACATAGTAGACCTGCCACATGAATCAAGGCGATCACATGCATCCGATTTCTCCAGGGCAAATTATGAAAATCAACCTGATAGCCTATAATCGTGCTCAACATTAAAGAAGCTAAACGATCTGAACCCAGACGTACTACTTACATGTGTCCAGCTCGGTGAAACTTCATTTGCATTTAATCAGACCACGCTTTATTACCATTAAAGCGCCTTCTCTGCATGGCTGGTCCACAACTGGGTTTAATATGTAATCTTTCTAAATTCTTTCCCAGATTTGGAAGTTTTCAATACTTTTGTCTTGAGATGATCCCAGCCCTGGTTTTTGCGATCAAGGTCTGGTAGTCTACGTGGCCACGGTAGGCGGCGAAGGGGTTTTATACGGTTTGTATAACTGAAAGTATTGACACCGTTGGGTTACGGTGTTTTTGTCCTGGAAGGTAAATGTCAGCCGATGTTCTTTCTGGTAGCGGTTTCAATGGATCTTTCCGTATTTTTAGTTACCCTTGGGTCAGTCATAGTTTCGCCTATGAAAATCGGCTCGCTCCTCCTGTTTAACAGAATAGCTCTCTACATCGTAACACAATCCTCACCTGCTGTTATTGTCTATGCATTGCTTCTGTTTGTGCACTCGTCCCCTAGATCTTCTAACTCTTATACCTACGTTTATTTTTCGTAGATAAAATCTCCACACATCACTTCAATAGCACTGATTTATTGTTAACTAAGGCATAAATTTAGAAATCAATCGGTTGTTCAACGTTTATCTCGTGATGCCAACTGTTGAAAATTTTAACCCTTCCCGTTTCATTTGTAAATCCCTATATGTTATTGTTCATAGAAATTGTCAGTGGTATGATCCCGAAACACTAAAAAGAGCTGATTTACCATTATGTTCTCAGCGCACGTACATTGTGGGTCGTCGTGGCGCAGTGGTTTAGTTGCCGTCACCGGCGTGCTTTGGACCCTGTGGTTCGAGGTTCGAGCCCCGCCAACGCCACCCAACTTTGGTGGCAGGTAGCTTTTCTGTCGTCCGGTTCAATGCTACGTCTAACTTGACGTCTAACCGAATGTGACACACCACTCCAAGTCCTGATGCTTAGGTTGCCAGTTTCCATCACTGAACAGCAGGTCCTCGTGACTATGAGGTTCGCCCCGTTAACTGTTCATCACACTTAGGTGTGTGTAATAAAACAAAAACAAAACAAAGTGAATAGATTGGCCTCAATTCGCCGTGCCGGCTCATCAGAATTATGGGGTTTTGTTTGAGAACTCTAGTTGTTCTGCTTAAGTACCGAACTCGTTAGCAGTGCCTGTCCATCACGCTCTGGTGTCTTAGCGGCGATCAATTAAGTTCACTTTACCGTGTTTCACTTTACGCAGTTGATGATTGCAATGAAAATTCAGCTGTGTGATCTAAATGAAAAAGCTGTTTCTCAGAATTTCCTTCGTTTTTTGATTTTCCCTTCACCTTGATTCCAATCTTGACACAGTGAACCTCCCACCGTCGAACTACTCGTAGCGGATCATCAATCTTACACACAATCTCCAGTTAAATGGCCAATAGTTCGTCCATGCGTCTTATCCGATTCACCAAACCGTTCTTCGTTGTCCCGTTCAACTGCTATCCATTTTTTCAACGTATCTACTCGCCTCATGCGTGCTATTGGGCGTGTGCCTGCCAATAGTGTCACTCCAAAGTGTGTTTGGCTTCTAGGTTTGGCAAATGGATGGCTGTACGCATTCTCTCGCACCGTGACTCCTGTCTCCAATTTGGTCACTATGCATTATGCTCCTCTTTGTGCGTTCCCAACTCCCGAACCGGTCACACACTGGAACTTGTTGGAGGATCCCATTGTGAGTAATACGCAGACAGTGAGTGATGGCTATCAACCGGTCAATCATGTGCTGTTTGCATTCCACGCACTTGGCAGTGGCTTGGCTCTGTGGCTTCCAAATAATCCGGAACAGGATCTCGAGGCTGAGTAAGCTTTGCTTGTGATTTCGCCGGTTGATTTATACAAACTGGTGTTTATCAGCTGTCTCTGTTTTCTTAGGTTGATTACAATGCTCGATGATACAAAACATCCACCCTTAAAGTCTTTTCCCCAGTACTTGGATCCGTTGACTTGTTGCTATGACGATTTGTGTTCTTCATTTGATGCATTTGTTTATTGGAATCGAGTTCAGCTCTTCACTACAATTTCCAGGGCTGCAGTCGCGTCATGACTGTGCGTTGTCGTGCTGTTTTTATGTTTTTATTTTGTGCAACCATTAAAAATGCAATTTCGTTCGCCGGTTTTGGTTGCTGTCGTGTGGGTCTGCCAATCTGAATGAAGCAATAGAAGAGAGACAGGAAGTTGAACGTGGAGTCGAAGAGAAAACGGAGAACTTCAGTAAACTAAGATTGCGAAGAAATTGTGGAGATGCATGAGCGCCACTGTTTACAACGTTCAGCCATATCACTCACTGTCTCTGACCGTTGATTACATTGATCCCGAGGTCACCATATAGGGAGCCTAACGTGACCTACATGACCGAGTCTCCTGGTTAGGGTTTTCATACCCTCGTGTCGGGTGTTAAATTGACCAATCTTGGATCTCCTTACGGAATTCCGCCTCGGAAGTTGGGTCTATTGAGACACATTGGACGTGTGTCGGAGCAGTTGTGTGAGAAGCTGAAGCTGGTGCCCAGCTACACTATGATTTGAAGTGCTCCACCCAGCGTTCAAGATGTCTCTGTTGGTTGTGATCAAGCCATCTGCCAACTTCCTAGATCGTTTCGCTCCTACCTAAAGCTTTCCTACCAGTGACTCGAATGATATGGAACAGCTTACGGGAATTTCCCATGGAGGCAGACCGTTCCACCTCTGATAATCGTTGAGAGCACCAAATTTCGCGGTCTCTGCGTGGGCTTACTTTAGGTTCACGTCTCATCACAAGTCATGTTACGTTATGCTTACTGTCAGTCAGAAGTGACCGGCATCTGTCAAGAAGGCGCAGACTCAGCGAAGATCCAGAGTGTCATGACACTACTTGTCAGGCCACAACTTATTTAGCCAATGTAATTCATAGCATTCTTGGTAAGCGACAAGTGCTGACTGGTGTTATCACGTAGGGTTGACTCCAGATTATTAGCTAGTGAGTTATAAAAAGCAATTAGGCATGCTGGTTGAGACAGCTTATTAGAATTTGACCGTCGCTGCGTCGTGTGTTTAGAGCGCTCATCGACGTGCGTAGACAGTTTGGCGCAAACTAATGCGTTGTCGGATTCGAGCTGAGTGCTCCACTACGATCGGCAGTATGCAGTCCCGCCATTTGCAGCTTACAGCGATGTAGTCCATCTGCGTTCGTCGCTGACTCAAAGAGAGTGGACGCCAACTAGCGTACCGGTAGTTGGATCATTTGAAGTCCGTTCTGGCGAGGAATAGTTAGGCGGTGGTTGGAACATAGAGCCAACAGCCGTTCCCGGTCTTCCAGGCGACAAGAATCTAGTCCGAAAGGACCTCCCAGATGCGTTTCACTCGAAGTCAGCCGGCTTACTCTAGTTTTCATATCTGCTGCTAAAATCACGGTATCAGCCGGGTTTGATCTACACAAGAGATCGTGTAGCTTTTGATAGAAGTCATCTTTAACACTATCTAGGCTACAGTAAGTGGATGCGTAAGCCGATACGACAAACAAGTTGCGTCTTTCGAAGCGACGATCACTTGCTTTGCACGAACCCTCAAGTCTCACTGTGCATAACCGACTGGGATCCAATCCAGGAGTGCAGCTTCAACGAGAGCCACATCGACGCCAGTAAAACCAGAAGCCGCAGCCTCAGAGTCCCATGGTAGCGCAAGTGAAACTCCGCAGATGGGTTCGATGGGGGTGTGGATCAGATTTATTATTTTTATTTTCATACATGCCTGAGTTCAGACTATGTGCCAAATTAATCACGGTGCAATAGTCTTTATAAAAATAAAGACCCATACTTCGCTCGAGGGCACGATACTACTAGGTTGCTTAGACCGAGGCAGGTTACTTTTCTTAGGGAGTTTATACCCAGAGCCTTTGGCTAGCCAAAACCTGGCCTGCAAGGCAGCGGGGCGGTGTGTGAAAACCGCAATCTATTAGGGGTTGGTGTTCACTACATCGGATCAAACTCTTTTGGATGGAGTCAAAAGTCCAAGGTGCCCAATACACCTCGGTACGCAATCGAGCACTACCACAATCAGGAAACTGAGTGATTGTGGTTCATACACTTCTTCCTGATTGGTTTGTAATCAGGGTTTTTAACCAACTCCCCCGAACTGCCAGTGTTTAAACGACCCGGTTTTCGACCCACTTTGGTGGGAAAACACCACCACAAGAAGACAGTGAGTGGGGCTCCTTCAACAAAAGCTGTTTCAGACGCTTGGTCGTATGAAAGCATTTCGCTAGGTGCAAGGGAAGGGATGACCAACTGTAACCCGAGACACCCACCCCCGACCATACTGAGACTTTTGGAGGCATGTTGCGTGATTGAAACGATAGACACACTGAGAGATGTTCCACCCAGCAGCAAACAGATCCACGTACCGGCATCTGTTAAGTATGATAAATGGATATCCTGGCGTGTATGGGCTCAGGAAACCGGATTGAAATTCTGTTGATGGGCGTTGAATTCCATATGAACTAGCGCAGTCTCAAGGCTCTGTAAAAACTTGAAACTTATCGGGGCAGCACATGAATGTTTGACTGCGACAGATCTCTTGAAAATTCCATATTTTAATAGTTCTTTTAAAGGCAATGATTTCCCTGCGCGAAATTGGTCCTTGTGTTCTGATGTTCTGCATCCGAAGGAAAACAGCGTGATGCGAATACTACCATGTAATTCTTCCACCTGTTGC